AAAGGGTGAAAGGGCCCAAAAATGTGACATTTCCCATTTTTAAATCCCAAAATTTCCCGATTTTCCCTCTCCAGGAAGGATGTGAATCTGAAGGAATTCCCRGTGGACACGACAGATCTGACCCCACACAAAAGTGAGGACATCAGGCTGGGTAGGTGCCCCAAAATCGGGTCAAAATCCTCGAAAATCCCGAATTTCTCATGGGTTTGGGTATTTTGAGGGGATTTAACCTCATTTTCCTCAACTTCTGGAATGGGTGTGGAGTTTTTTTGATCGAAATGGGGATTTAGGTGCCAAAATTGCTGTAAAGGAGCCAGAAAATGAGAGATAGAAAATTGGAAATATAGAAAGGAAGGACGTAGGAAATGAGAGATAGAAAATTGGAAATAAAGACCCCATATATGAGAGATAGAAAATTGGAAATAAAGAAATGACCCAGGAAATGAGAGATAGAAAATTGGAAAGAAGGGAAGGAAGGAGCTGGGAAATGAGAGATAGAAAATTGGAAATAAAGAAAAGACACCATAAATGAGAGATTCAAAATTGGAAATAAAGGAAGGATCCCATAAATGAGAGATACAAAATTAGAAATAAAGAAAGAAAGGACCTGGGAAATAAGAGATAGAAAGTTGGAAATAAAGAAAGGATCTTGGAATGAGAGATTCAAAATTGGAAATAAAGGAAGGACCCGGGAAATGAGAGATAGAAAATTAGAAAGGATCTGGGAAATGACACATAGAAAATTAGAAATAAAGAAAAGACCCCATAAATGAGAGATATAAAATTAGAAATAAAGGAAGGACTGGGAAATGAGAAAATGAAATCAGAGCCGTTTTTTTTTGGTGAGAGACTGAGTAATTCCATTAATTATTCCTGGAAATCCGAGGTGCCGGACCCCGATCACCCCCGTCCCACCGGTGAAATTCTGATTTTCCGGTAAAATTCTGATTTTCCGGTGAAATTCTGATTTTCTGGTAAAATTCCAATTTTCTGGTAAAATTCCAATTGTCTGGTAAAATTCTAATTTTCTCTTCACACCCTGACGAATCTCAGATTACAAAAACAACATCCTGAAGGAGAAGGCCGAGCAGGGCAGGAACGTCCCGGCCAAAAACATCGATTTAGACAAAGGTGACCAAAATTCCACCTTCCTGGTGGCCTTGGGGATGTTTTTTTTAGGGGGAAAAGAAGATTTTTGTAGGGTTGGAGCGGTGTCTGTGCTGCTGTGAGCTCGGAGGGGTGGGGATGGATTAAAAAAAAAAGTTCTGGGGTGGTGTTTGGGCAGAAATGGCTGTGAAGGAGGGAGGGTTTGGGGTGGGATTAATTTATTAATTTTATTAATTAGTTTTATTAATTCTATAATGAGTTTTATTAGTTTTAGCGGGGCTTGGCGTCAGCTCCGGGGACTCATTGCAGGGGAATTGGGGTGGAAAAAATGGGATTGGGATGGAAAAAATGGGATTGGGATGGGAAAAATGGAATTGGGATGGAAAATATGGGATTGGAATGGAAAAAAATGGGATTGGGATGGAAAAAATGGGATTGGGATGGGAAAAATGGAATTGGGATGGAAAAAAATGGAATTGGGATGGAAAAAATGGGATTAGGATGGAAAAAATGGGATTGGGATGGGAAAAAATGGGATTGGGATGGGAAAAATGGGATTGGGATGGGAAAAAATGGAATTGGGATGGGAAAAATGG